CCAATCTGCCCCCGTCTCCTCTCCCCAATCCCAGTCCCAAAGCCAAAATCAATCCCAATCCCACAATCCTAACTACTTCTCCCCCCCGCCCGGCCCCCACCACTCCTCCCACCAGCCCTATGCCTCCATCTACTCCCCCTCCGGCTCCCGCACCCCCCAGCAACCCCCGCAACCCGGCCAGCCCGGTTGGCAGCCGCCGCCGCCGCCTCCCGGACCGCCGCCGTCCGCGGAGTATGCCGCGGCCATCGCGCAGGGGGCGTATCCGAGTGGGCCCGGCGGGTATGCGCAGCAGCAGGGGAGGGCACCGAGTCGTGGTGGACAGGGGCAGCAGGGACAACAGGGGCAGCAGGGACCGTGGGCGGGGTTGGAGGGGTGGAAATGAGTGATGGGGGAAATGGAAGATCTGGTGACTGCATGTTGAAGGTAGACTGCGGAGACGGGGAGGAGTACAGGTATATATATACCGTGCGTTTTGTCGTCCGATGAATGGAGGGAGTTGCGGGGACTTGGTGGCCGCAATTGGCTGTCGTGGTAGCGCTAGTTGGTAAGATCGATCGTCGAAATATCGCGCCATCGATGTACTTCTGCAGACGCCTACATAATTAGTACATACACTTAGCTATCCCTCATCCCGTGTCTGTAGGATCTTGATGCATGCGATTCGTATCACCAGAAGTCCAATGTATCAGACTAGGCTAGGAATGCTATTTACGCCACCCTGTACCCCGTATCACCCCGCATTGCAATCTACGATAATAACGCCATACCAATTACTATGCATATTTTCTTCGATTAAGCTCCCTACCTAATACTGTACCGCTACTGTAACTCCAGATCTCATCTCCATCCCCCCTATCATACCAATGCGTCCCTCTCCCCTAGTACGCTCCCCCACATCATTGGTCACCCCTCCAACCCCTTCTGCAGCTCCTGCGCCCCGTCCTGCATGAACTCCAGTGACTTTTCTTTCCCTTCCCCTCGCACCGGAATTTCCAAGTAGATCCGGTAGCGCGACGAGTGCCGGTGGAGCTAACAGCACCGGCGCAATGAAGAGATGGACGCACCAGCGCGATGCCTGATGCGGATGACGTGAGGATCAAATGAGTGGAAATGCGGAGAAGTGGGGCGGTGACGTCGATCGTCGATGATTTGGGCGTCTCCCCCCAAGCGATGGTTGTTGGTTGCTGGTCAGTTGATTTCCTTGGTTTGATTGATGTGACAGACCACTGATCGTTTATATATGACCCCGCTTTCCGGACGTATTGCGTTTCGCAATTTTCGCATTTTCGCATTTTCGCATTTCTCTTTTGCTCATTTGTTGGATCGTGAGTGAGATAAAATTGTATTGAATTGGTTGCGATTCTGGGTTTGGATCTACGTTGGATTGAGATACGAGTCGAGAAACGGAAGAGGGACGGATCGCTTCGGAGTTACGGGTTGAGTACAGGTACGGTGGTCGTCGGCATCGTGGTCCGGCTTGGAGACAATGGGAACGATCACTGACTTGAAATAGGGGCCTGTCGAACGCTATGCCGGACGTCAATGAGGTGGCGGCGCAGGTGGAGGAGCGCGTCCAGTCGGGTATGTACCTCCCAATACTCTTCGGATCGAAGTATGCTGCAGCGATGGTTGCTTCGAGGTCCCGAGGCTGCTCAGCAAGAGATACTCTAAGAATGACAGCGAGCTAACCAGTTGGATGTACAGTGAATCCGTTCGTGCGAAGTAACAACTACTCCAAAGCCACGCTCGTCCTATACAGGATCATCACGGTTGTCTCCTGGGTTGTTTTCGTCATCACCGGGGTCTATTACACCTTTCAACGACCCCATGAGGGCAAGTATGCCCATCGGACAATTTGGGGCCAAAACAGCCACTATGCCACACCCTTCGCCCTCAACTCGATCATAACGAGCATCTACTGGTACCTGCCCCCGACTCCCCTCCCAACTCCGCTAACCCCCCACACAGGATTCTCCTCCTCCTCCTCCAAATCCCCTACCTCACCTCCCTCTACTCCTCCGACGACGCCCGCTCCCGCCCCTCCGCCCACCTCGCCCCCCACTTCACCCTCTCCACCCTCCTCTTCTTCGGCTTCATCCACCTCTGGACCCGCACCCACCTCATCTGGGCCCTCATCCTTCTCGTGGTCAACTTCCTCAACCTCACCTCCGCCTACCTCTCCCTTCCCCCACCCAAACCCCCCCGCAGCGCCGACAATCCCCTCACGGCCGACGGCGGCGCATCCCGCCGCGTCCGAGACGCTTTCCGGAGCTTCGTCGGCGGGAACGAGACGCCGACGTTCGATTATCGGTTGTTGATTCACACCGCGGTGTTGGCGGGGCCGCTGGCGTTTAATTTCGTGGCGCTGTATTGGAGCGGCGCCGCGGCAGTGAATGCGCATACGCTGGCGGCGAGGATTCTGGCGAATATCGCCATTTGGGGGATCTTGGTGTATGGCGTGTTTCATCTGTATGCGTTCGGTGACTGGGTTCTTGGAGTTTCCTTGAGCGTGTTGGCAGCTTGTAAGTTATGTTTCTGGTCTCTTCCTATTGTTCTGTTTCTTTATTGTACAAGGGTGATGGTTTGCGGGGATACGGCTGACTCCTCCCAGCGCTCGGCGTCGCCCAGTTCCTCACCCACGTCGTCGCATTCCAGTGGATCTTCGCCTTCGTCATCATGGGCGTCCTGTTTGTCTTCAGCATCACGACCGCGGTGCCAAGTTTGATCACCCGAGGCGCGGCTTCCGATGACCGAGAGCGAGCGCCACTGCTTCAAGGTGACTCGTGAGAATGCGGATGAGAGAGCGACGCATCTGATCGCTGAATGACTGAATGATGGAGGTGTTTCCTACGATCAGGTTGTTTGTAGATGATTGGAACGAGTGGATCATTTGGCGGCAGTTAATCGACCAGTGCATCGTGGGGTCAGTTTGCCAGAGCCATATGATACTTTTTGAAGGATTTCATTCTCGTTTGCGGCATCTATGGCATTTCATTACCCCTTTTCCGCTTTTACTTATACGTCCTTCCTATCCCCTCAGTCCTTTCCTCAACGCTCTACCCATTGCATCTCAGAATGACTCCGGAACCTCCTTTTCTGTGAACATGCTATAATCTTGCTCCCTTCTTGCATTCGCTATGGGCGTTGTATATAGTCTTCTGTATCTAGTCCTATAATCCAACAGGTGTTCTACCAAAGGCGTCACGCCTGCCCAATTGTCAAATTGATCTGGTATTGCGTTCTTCTATTCTCCTCGTCTCGCATTTCTATTCAAATCCGCTAAAATATCAATATTTAAATCCTTTTTGTGTCCCATCGCCTCAATTGACCCGAAACACTGAACCCCAGAACAACTTCCTCTGCTGTTGAATTCCTTCCTAAGCAGTGGGACAGCGAGATTTTATGAACTTCGCAATTTCCGCTCTAAATACGCGAGTTTCTAACCTTCCACTTGCCTGTTGAGCTAACCATCCCCCATGCTGCGGATTCGCCATCTAATTGAGTTGAATTACAACCGATACTCTTCGGTTCACCGAGAAGACTGGGTCCCATCGATGGCCCCCGCGTACCAATACCAACCAAGGATACCAGAATTTCCTTTCGGATGACGCGGCGGTTTCCAGCAACCTACTGTTCGATAGCACCTAAAAGAAGGTATAAATCTTGGAATCCTTCCCATGTCTGGCCGCCCTCAATCCTCATCAACACCTTCGGCATGATTCTCACTGCAGGTCGAAATCGCCCTCAATTACGCGACCATGGAACTGCATCTGGCCCTGTTGGCTGACCCGGTTCGAGTTCATATGTTTCAGAATTGGTCCCGTACCCGGTCGGGGGACCTCTGTTCTACTGCATCTTCATGAAAGTATACTATCTATCACTAACCAGAGACAGAATCGCGGACTCAGCAACGAAAGTATAATCAGAATTAGATCGGTGGTGCGAAGTTGCTTTGGCCATACATAGATCCTCACACCACTATCATAGAAAATGGTTTCGGCTCCGACACGTCCCAAACAGGTGGGAAATTCAATGTCACCCATAAGATTTCGGTTCTTATCGAAATGGTGGATCAAGGAGATTTCGTTGTCACCAGCAATCTCGTCAGCAACAGGGGACGACTGAGCGACAGATCACCCCACTGAAGCACTATAAAGTCCTTTTTAGCATGCATAGTAAGTTGGTATACAAAAATCAAGGTCTCCAATCAAAACTTCTTCGGCCAATTGTGACCAATTATCCTTCCTGAGAACAGGCTCTCTCCATGCATATGCACTGTCTCTAATGTGCTCCCGAAATCAGATCGGACATTTCAGCTGTCCTAGGTTGACCATTCACGCAGCAAGTCGCATGATATCCAACTTCCATACCTGCAAAACCAAACCCGGAACATACACTAAAAGCGCGTCAGGGCAAAGATCAAGAACCATTGGCCTAGTCGCGCGTAGAAATTCTTGAGCAACGCGATCGTCGCCTTAGACTAACGATGGATACCACTGCGACATCCTCAGCTCAGAACTCCGAGTCCGACCAGATGTCCAATGTCGATAACGCCCGGTCTTCTCCAGCAGATGGCCCGCCCCGGGCGTTCGAAGATTATGGAGGTCAATCTGGCGTTGGACAAGGCCTCGCTCCGAATTCGATGGCCGATCTTGGGTGAACTCAGCGATATCATGGTCATCGACGATCCGACGGACGCGTTTTCTCCCGAGAGGCCATTACAGCTTCCTGATGATAGCTTTCACCTTGTTGCCAATGCGATCGCCTTGGAGCCGCCAATTAGCTTTGTGATGGTTAAACTCGATTGCCTTGACTACTATCCCTTCGAATGCTCTGAAGCTTGCCAATGCGACGGCAAGTACAAGGATGACATCGGAAATGTAATGAATTGCTTTTGCGGGCATGACTAACCTCCATCTGACCCATTCAAGTCGTTCGAGAGCCCGCCATTACGGTTGGAAACACCATCCGTACGTCACATCCGTACCTGAATTCCTTGAAGAACGATATCATTCGTGCCAAGTCACACTGGCTCGACTCGCCTCTCCCGCCTGGTACTCAGTTCTACGCTGGCCCAATGATATACGGGTCTCGCTTTCGTATATTCCAAGACGAGGGGCCCGAGTACAACCAACTTGAATGGGACAGACCTGCTCGGATTGCTTTCAGATTGAAAAATACCCAGATGGCATTGCAGAGATAGGTGGGAAGATTTGGTCGCAACGGCATTGGGCTGGAGAATCGATTATTAATCATTCAAAACAGGGGAAATGTGGAATGAGCATGTTGACAGTACGGGACAAGAGTCGTTCGAAATGGGTCGAAGGTACTAAGGTACGGGCAACAATTGAACTAATAGGGGCTGTTGCTGGACGTAAAACGGCACATTTTCCGTGAGACTCATTTAATTGCTTTGCTCGCTAGCATAGTATCGATGCGAATAAATACAGATCATCATGAATATTTAACCTTTCAAGAAAGTTAAAATCCAACCTGAACGTTGTTCTATTGATCCTCTCTCGAGTCCCCACAGTAAAACTCTCGGTACGCTAAAACAAATGTAGCTAGTCCCCGCTTGTAGATCCAACCTTAAATTCCAATACCAACGTTCGCTCCACGTCATGGTGGCTCACTTGATACTACTTCAATCGTTGAGTTTATGAACTGCCCTCCAAGAAGCCATGGCACCAGATAGAGGGGAGGGTAATCCCAAAGGGCTGCGATTGAAGTTAGACTCGAGTCTACCTACTCCGTCCGCCGACACGAAACCAGCTAAGGATGAAGTCCAAGCCGAAGACGTTGCCAAAGAGAATACCAGCTCCGGAACGCAATTCTCCCTCGAGCCATTCCCTTCACAGTCCTCTGATGAAGAAGACCCCAACCAGGCTGGAGGGAGCGATGAGAACTCCCATCTGAAACCCCAGGATGCCCGTCTCTACAACCAACGGGGCTCAACGTCCCATCCACAGCTCCCACCTACCGCAGGACTCTACCCACCCTTCTACAACCGCCCACCGACATCTCTCCCCCAATCTCCCTCCCTAACCTCCCTCCTCCGCCCCCCATTCAGCACCCAGACCTCCCGACCCACCACCCCCGACTCCAGTGACGTCGAAGTCCTCACCGGCAACGGCACCAGCACTCCCGCCAGCACCGCCGCCGCCGTCGCCAAGTCCGCACGCACCGCTACTACCGTCCCGCGCGCCGCCCCCAAAGTCCCCACCTACGAGTACTACGGCTTCGCGCTGTACATGGTGTCGTCGGCGGCGTTCCTGATGTACCTGCTCTGGGCGTTCCTGCCGTCGCCGTTCCTGCACGAGCTGGGGATCTACTACTACCCGAACCGATGGTGGGCGCTGGCTGTGCCGGCGTGGCTAGTCGTGCTGCTGGGGTATGTCTATGTGGCGCTGGCGAGCTATAATACGCAGCGGTTGACGTTGCCGATGAAGAGTATCGAGAATTTGGTGGACGAGGCGGCGCAGGTGGCGGTGGTGGATGAGGAGGGGAAGATTGTGCAGGATAGGAGAATGGGAGGAACCGCATCGAGAGGGTCGGGACAGAAGAAGAGCGAGAGAGGGGTTGGGAAGCATGGAGCACGCAGTCGAGGGCATTATGCGGGGAGTAAGAAGGCGATGGGAGCGGCAATCGCTGAGAAAGACGTGGACTGGAAGAGGTATTGGAGTGAAGGGACCGATGCGGTCATGGATGTACCCATTGGCGCGGTTTGCGAGATCTTATACGGCTCGAGTCCGGAAGCCGAGGACTAGTGAGCTGATGCCACGATTCTAACCTGCAATGCTTAATAGTCCGCTTTCGGATGGTGGGTAAAATATCCGATGTTGTACTCCCATAGGGTGGAAAGAGTGACTAGAAAGCACTGGTGTCGTCCGAACTGAATTCACATGGGGCCAACAGCAGATCTCACTAGCGCTTGCCTTCACAGAGCGCACAGTATCAGTTCACTTTCTCGCTTCGGCTGCAGCTTTCACCCACAGCACGACTTGCGGATCTGGTTCACTTCAACCACACACAATCTGCCTCTACTGGATCTGTTTTTCCCTGCGGAAGTGACATTCACAGAATACACCGCCTTGACACCAAGAGTAGATATTGTTGAGTTACAACATCTTCGCATCCGAAGTAGGTGTCCCCATCACCATCGTTATCGTCATCCACTCACATCTCATGTTTAGCCACCATCCGACGAACAATCTCGTCGAAAGTCGATAAGAGACCTTACGAGACCTTCAACCTATCAAGACTCCTTACTACCACGATGTCCACCCACGGGACTACTTCCACCATTCCCAGCGGTGATATCGATGCGGCCCTCCGAGAGCGCAAACCACGGAACCTCCCCATGGTTCCAACTCTCCGCCATCAAAGTGGCTACAAAGAATAGTTCCACGCTCTTTCTGTCCGCCTCAAACTGCTCGGACTCTACCAACAGGCTGTGTCTGTTGCCCCGAAGCCGCAACTCATAGGCGAAACGTGGTCTGAAGCACAGTACAAGGAGCAATGTGATTGGATGGTCGCCGAGAACGATACGAAGTGCGAACTGGCCATTTCTATCTCCATGGACGGCTACCTCTGGGTCAAGCGGACGGGCTGGGATGATAGCCAAACCGCCCATGATATATTCACATTGATCAGGAGGTGGCTTCGCAGGACGCATGAGTATAATCTGATGGAACTATACGGGGATCTCAAAACCCATCAGATTATTGAGCGAGAAGGCGAAACAGAGTCCACTGTGGCCATGATGGACGGGACGGTGTACAATTCCCCGCGAACGATCAAGAATAGGCTTTAGGTATTCGACCTAGTCAACTTCGACATGGAAGCTAAACTTGATATGCTTGTGTGCCTGGAAAAGATCGATCGATCAAGATACAATAAATACTTCCTTTCGGCCTTGGACGACTCGGCGTTTTCGGTTAAAGTGTTAAGAAGTTGTCCATCACCAATCGCATTTAGATGTCAACGTTCGATCACCGACCGGGCAGGACTGCGCTCTAAACCGCGCTAAAAAAGACGACGCGTTGGATAATGCGGAGAAGTGACTTCGGTCGGACGGAGAGGAGAGTGAGAGGCAAACCGGTACTGGCTCATCACCACAGTATGGCACTGACCGCCGCTGGGATTAGCCCCTAGCACATCATCGCAGTGGCTGTAGCCGTTGGTACGGAGACCGGAATCTGAGGACTGGTTAGGGTGAATGTCGAGGTTCAAACTTCAAAGTCAGTGGGAGAGAGGGGATCATCCAATGGAATTTGCTTACTGAAACATGATGGATAAGCGACACCAGGGCGGTATTATACCTTAGCACGACTTTTACCATTGCAATGCACACAGCAAACGTTCCGCCTATATGAGAGAAAAATCACGCCCAAGTGTTAGAGATCGTAGCCTGACACCCCTATTTTATATTCCCACTCCGATTCGTTGAGCGGGAGATATTCCCGACGATCTCCTCGACCCATCACCACGGTTGGTACACCAGTCCGATACGTCCCATGCACCTCCCCATAAATGCAACCACACCACCGCATCCGATTCCCAGCTACATGGGTGACACCAATGCAAGGAGGCGAATTGCATCATGCGTCCCTGGGTGGGAAGCTGAACACCACCCATTTGCGGGGAAAACTTGAAACTCGTCTGTTCGGTTCGACTGCCTGCAGGTTGGTTTCTCCTCATCCTCAATTCTCATATCCCCTCGCCGTCCACTGAGACTACTCCGATATACGCTACGCTCCTACGATCTACACGATATCTAGCAACCCTCACGCTTCATTCAACCATCCGAACCTCACCCACGCCCAAGTAAGCCCCTCCCTACCCCCTCCACCATCTCTGCTCTAACTCCCCCCAGCATGCAAAACCTCCGCAGTATGTCCAAAGAGCGGACCCACTCCGTCTCCTCCCCCAACATCGACCCCAATGGCCACATCACCATGGACGCCTCCCGCGACGAGCTCATCCTCGCCGTCAAGCGGCAGGACGCCCTCCTCCCCGAAGTCCCCAAGCTCACCACCTGCACGCCCGCAAACTTCGAAGAATGGCTCTGCGTCCTCGCCACCCGCCTCAAACTCCTCGGGCTGCACGCGCACGTGTTTCATGGGGTCGCGGTCCCGAAGCCGGCGGGCCCGCCCACTGCGGACGATCGGCGGAAAATGATGAATTATATGACGAATGAGATGCGGGCGAAGTGTCAGGTAGTATCGTTCATTTCGGCAGCGGGGCTGCTGGCGGTGAAGAAGGGGGGATTCGATGAGTTTGATACACCGGCGAAGGAGCTGTTTCTAATGGTCGTGAAGTGGGCGGGGGGGATGTGCGAGGGGGGGAACGTCGCGGTGCAGGAGAAGTTGAAGGATTTCGAGGCGTGGGGGATTATATGAGGGGACTTACTGCTGGGTCATTGGGGTATTTGACTGGAAGGAATTGATTTTCTGGGGGATATACAAGCGATATTTGGTGTTTTTTCGAACGGCTACGTCACCAATCTGGATGGTGGATGGAATTCGGGAGCGGGGCACGTTCACGATGAAACCCGACCGAAACCAATATCCCAACTACAAGCTCTATAGTAGCCCAATGCTTTATCTTGAATTCTTGATGGAAGTAATATTCCTCCTGTTTCGTGATCTAGCATGGAGGAGATTTGCGATATATCTCATCCTTCTTATTCCTGCACTGTGCATGGAAATTTCCACGTAATATTGACCAGTATCCAATCAACGGGTGGAATCAACCCGCTGCACTCTAGACGACCCTGCCTCCGTGCCTCGACCTCCCCCGCACCATCAGATTCGGGCTCCCCTACAATGATGAATTGTTCCAAGCCAACAGGGTCATCCTCTCACCAAAAATTCTCAGTTTAGAAGATAGAGGACAGGAGGTGAAATGGTGGTGGGATTGAAGCAGCCATCTACCAGAGGCGTCCAGACAGTCTGAGTCACTAGTCAGGCGCTCAGGCACCAAGGTAGTAATTTAGGTGCCTCCGTAAGGGAAGAAATTTATGGTCCATACAACGTTTTGTTCCCGAAAAATCATAACCATCCAAATGGATAATATAGTTCAGACTCTGACGGTAGGTAGATCTAGCTCTAAAAATATAATTTGACCTTTTAAATCCGCCTTTTAATGTAAGGGTGCGTCGTTGCAGCTCGATTCAAAATTTAGATTTCTGTGTGGTACGGGCCCTCAATTTCTTCCCCACGAAGGGTGAGATACATTGATCTGTCACGCAGCCCGCACTCTGCAGGCTACCTACAATCTAACGCTAACTAGTACCAGCACTGGCTTCCGTGCCGCCTGCATGTCACACCAATCTAGGAGTTCGGACGCGTTGTCAAGTGGCATCAACGAATTGGCGACTGGTGCTGGCTGTTGTTGATATTCTCGCAGCTTGCTGCATCTGCAAATGAATGTCCATGGAACCACACGCTAGGAAATGCTCCGTGTCGAATTAAAAGCCGTCCTGCAGTCAATTGTCAAAGGACGCTAGCAAGAGATAATCAGAGACTAGAGTGGCAGCCTCATTGCCTGGCCCGCGATCCGTCCAGTCTACTACATAGTATGCACAGTAGACTCGTGGTTGAGTGCACCCTGCAGTCCGTGATCCCATCCCTTCTGACAGGACCATCCACATTAATCCACGCTAGACACCAGACATGCACAATTGCAACTTTGGCAGGGCCTTTGGTACTGTACCCAGCCCTGAGCCCGTCCTGTCCGATCCACTGGGCACCGATCCACGACGTTCCATCCATCCATCTCCAACTTTCTTCACTTCCTCATCTCCGCCTGAGTGAAACATCGTGAACGCTGACCCCTAACTCTGGGGTTGTTATTCTCCTTCTACTTACCACCACCACAAAAGCATTCTTGGGGTTTAGAGACCGTTTGACCATCTCCTTGAGACTGGAGGCAACCATATGAGACATACATTTCAGCCATTAAACCGGCTCCTCGTACTGGCAACATCCTCTCAGGCCGTTGCTGCTCATCATCATTGCATCGTATAGGTGCATTCATCTCCTTCCTCCAGGTCCGTATTTTCTATCCCTTCATCCACCCGATCTTGATCACCTCGAATCTTTTCAATATGCCCAGTCTCTGCAAATTCCACCTTTCGCGATGATCGGGGATGGCGAGAGGACCAGACGACCCCAAGCGCATCGTGTGGCGGTCGTCCACATTTTGCAGGCCAAGGCCGATCTCTCCCATGCCGAACGGCACTCATCTCCCCCATCCACGGTTTGATTCGCTGACTTCTTCTCCAAGTGATTTATCATCTACTACCTTTCATCCGTCACTGATACGGAATTGGAACGTCTATTGACACATCGACACGCGACAGACCTCTAGGTCTGTTCAAGTGGCACAGCGGCAGCCGTTGCACCGCCTCGTCAACCGACACGGAAGCCCAAAAAAGGGCTCAGCCGCACAGGGTAACCGCGACCAGTTGGGGCTTCCTCCACTGTCGAGGCTGCCGAAACACGGGCGAACGATTTCTGGGTCCGCCAGATTGCGCTAGTCCCAAATAGGAATAGTATCCAGCGCCAAGCTTTTGGCACGTCCAACTTGAAACCTTCTGCAGTTCGGCTGGAACGACGTCTGGAGTTGGGAACTTTGGTATGTGTAGGGTGTAATGTGATCCATCAACTTCCACTTCCATACCGTTTACACCCACGATACCCCATACTCTACACTATACCCCACCGCAGGCGATCCTAACATTTCGTGGTTGGAGATTCGATTGCTCGGGGGTTGTTTGTAGTTGGTTTGACGGTTCATGCCACTTTGGCCAAACCCATTGCTGACGGCGATTCCTTCCAGTCGTGACCGAAACGCGGCATTCCAACTATTTCCGTGTCACTCAGGCCATCATTCGACCGGGTATCCTCCACTCCATCGATGCCACATCGCGCAGACGTACATCTTGAGTTCGAACCACGCGAACATCGGTAGGAGGGTACGGGAGCGGAGGAATGGCGTCTCGGTTCCCCGAGCGCGACCGAGACGGACGCGACACAAGATGGCAACCGCGAGACCGTGATCGAGATCGGGAGCGGGAGCGATCTCCTCGACGCGATCGCTCCCCACCTGGCCGCTTCATGGACCGCATCGATCGACGAAGTTCCATAGCGTTCAATTCCGAGATCCCACGCGGCCCAAAAGCGGATCGCGTCGACTCCAATCTGTCCACATCGAGCATACCTGCGGGACCAAGAGGGCGCGGATTTGGTGGCCGCGGCGATTATCGCGACTCGAGAGACGGGCCATCGTATTCCGATGGTCCGTTACGGACGTGGCGAGAGCGCGACGCGGATGCCGATCGCCGGGCGTCGCCACGACCACGTTCACCCATTGTACGATCTCATCCCGACATACGCGACGCGAGAGACGCGCCGGCACGTGACGATGGCCCATTGCGACAACGTCGAGACTCACGAGACGGCCCCCTCTCTACAGGATCGGCCTCGGAGTCAACATGGAGCGGCGGCGCTGGTTACAGCCGTGGTGGAGGTTTCGGTAGAGGCCGTGGACGTGGCGGATACGACGAATATCGCGGCAGAGGCCGTTTCGATGATCGAGAAAGAGACAGGGATCGAGAGACCCGAGACCGTGACCTTTTCCGCCCACGCAGTCGATCACGCCAACGTTGGGGTGATCGTGATCGAGAACGAGACCGAGAACGCGACCGCGAGAGAGACCGCGAGCGAGATCGAGACCTCATCCCGGCTCAACGCGATTTCCGAGACCGAGATCGAGACCGCGATTTTGACCGTCGGGACGACCGGCGCCCGTTTGAGCGCGACGAGCGACCGAATTTTCGCGACGACCGATTCCGAGATGGCCTGGGCGAGCGAGATCGATTCAGCCGCCTAGATTCTCGTCAAGGGAGCGGACATTCTACACCACTTCCTGACCCAGCGGCCGATCGCGATACCGGCAGACCGGATCTGTTGCGACGGCAATCCTATGCGACGGACGCGCATGGCCCGTCAAGACGAGAGAGCAACGAGAACAAGCCGGACCTGCTCGCCTTACGGGCACGGGCAGCGTCTCCTCCACCGGCGATTCCACAAGTACCGGCATTTGGGTCGTTACCTTTGACGGGCGGCGTCATATCGAGAGCGCCGAGCAGTTTGACGTGGACCGCGACTGGCGCGAAGCAACAAGCGATAGCGCGAGCAGATGCCCAAAAGGACGAACAGGAAGAAGGGCAGATTCTACAAACCCCTCAAGAACAAGCTGCGGAAAAGTCGATCCCGCCGCAGGCTACGGTTCCAACTGGCCCTGCAAGAGCTCCACCTACCGGACCAAAGGCTCAAGTCGCTGCTGCGGTTGGCTCCGCCGGAACGGGACCGACAGCGAAACCTGCTGAGCCACGGCTTGCTGTTGTTCCGCCCAGTGGACCGAAAGCTATGCGAACAGCGAACGCATTGGATTCCAGGGACGTACGGGACGCAAAGCTGGAATTGAAAGCGCCCACGGCACCTCGACCTTCATCGTCATCAGGATCTTCGATGGCTCCTTCGACAAGCTTTAGCCCGCCGAAACCGCTGTCAAGCAGCCTTAGCGATAGTGGACGGCCAGATCCCTCGGATTCCGCGCGGAAAGGAGATATCCCATCTGTACCCAGTATTCGAGCGCCTCCCATAGGGCCATCGCAACCAACCGTCTCCTCAACCATATCCCGTCGCGCACCATCACCAAATCTCAGCCGACAGCTGAGCTATCCGCAGCCATCACGCCGCTCCCTCTCTCCCCGTCCTTCACTCCCGACTTCATACTTCGCACCCAACCAGATCCCTCAAGGCCCGCGTGCCTCACCCAAGACGTCCAGCGCATCCTTAAACCTTTCCGGCCTCGACATCCCTCGCGGCCCGCGTGCGGATCGTGCACCTGCCGGAAGGGGATTCGGCGTCGGATTGAACGCGCCTACCGGACCCGCTGGTATGGGAAGAGGCATGGGAATCGGTGCCCCGGGAAGAAAACCGCTGACCTATCCACTGGGACCGAGAGGTGCCGCGCAGGATGGACCCTATGGACGCGGCGCTCTCGTTCCCGCCAAGCGTGACGCGGAGGGAGAAGAGAAAGATCGGTTGCGAATCCCGGGATCGCAGGAGGTTAAGCCGGCGATCAAGGAAGAAAGGGATCGGGAAGATGCTATTATGCGGCCTACTTCTCGGCCGCGATTGACGGAGAATGAGGAACCGGTTAGGTCTGAACCGAGCAGAACGGACTTGGCTGGCCTTACCACTCGCAGACTTGCGGTTCGTGGTGCGGTTCCGGATCCGATGGAACTTGATCATCCGTCTGGTGATCAAAATCTAGTGCAAGCGCCAAATGGTACCTCTACTCCCGTTGAACCTGCCGTCTCTGCTCTCTCCGCCAAACTTGGTACCGACACCGACGAAGCACCTTCGTCCCGACTGGCCGGCCCTTCCATCGATGCGGCGCTCAGCGACGACGAAGACGAGGACATGTTCGGCGAAGAGGAAGACTTCGCCGAGACGGAGCAACGGTTCCAACGCGAGAAAGCCCGCCTTGAGAGTATGGTGGTGGACCTTAGCGACCGCAAATATCGCGCGACCACGCCGCTGGAGAACCTGGTGATCTTGCAGGCGCTGGCGGAGAACGAGCCGGCGGACGTGCTGAAGACGGTGCGGGGCGCCAAGAACATCGCGTCGCGCAACGCCGCCGCCGCGAAATTGGAGGCGCAGGAGCGGTTGAAGTCGGAGGGCGAAGTGGTTGTGGGCGAGCAGATGCTGACCCCTGCGGCCGGCGAAGGCGAGGCGGATGGGATGGATGGGGATGTGGAGATGGTCGAGGAGAAAGACGAAGAACGGTGGTTATCTCCCGAGCGCGTTGCCACACCCGACTTGCAGCTGCTCCCGTATCTCGCCAAAGGGCCGCCCACACCACTTTCCGATCTCGAGGTCGTGGATGGGAAATACGATGAGGACTTGGCGCAGACCGTTTCGGAGCACCTGGCGCAGATGCATTTCAGCGACCACAGCGGCGATGAGGAGCGGGAGGACGAGTACAAATTCGTCCATGCCGGCTGGCGAAATAACTTGCGCGACCTGGAGCAGGAGATCGAGGCGGAGAAAGAACGGTTGGCGCGCGAAGCGGCAAATGATGCAGCAGCGTCGGCTGGCGCGGCCGATTCGGCGTCTCCGGCTGCCGACACGGGTGCGGGCGCTGCGCCAGCAACGGCAGAGGCTACGGCGCCTCCGACGCCACAGCCGTCGAGCCGCAGGAGAGAGTACAAGTTCGCTTCAGAATACGACATGGAGCGTGCGATCAAGGAGTCGGAAGAGCTTGCGCGCAAGGAGGCGTTGGAACGACAGAAGCAAGAGGCTAAGTCGCGCGCGAACTCTGAGACGGAAGCGGATATTCCCCTGCTTTCTCGACCGTCGGACGTGTCGATCCGAGTGTATCACGACACCGCGCAACTCACGCTCCCCGAAGATGCGCTGTGGGCGTTCGATTTCGATCCGCCGGTCGACACGTTCACCGAGGAGGAACACAAGATCCTCGTCTCACAATTCAAAGACTTCCCCAAGAAATGGGGCAAGCTCGCCGTGCACCTGCCCAGCCGCACCTACAAGGACGCCATCTTCCATTACTACGCCACCAAATGGGACAAGGAGTTCAAACCGCGCTGGGCGCGCGGCCGCAAAGGCGGGGGACGCGGCCGCGGTCGTGCCGCTGCCGCCTCGTCCGGCTCCGGCGTGCGTCGCGGCAAGACGAATGCGCTCATGGCAGACCTCGGGGTCAAGCCGGACGTTTACTCGGGCGACGAGTTCGCGGTCACGGACTCCGGCCGGCCGCGACGGGCGGCGGCGCCGAAGTTCGGAGAGGTGCCCGGGGCGCCGACGACGTTGGATGGCATCATAGAGGAGCGGGCGGGCACGCCGAAGAAGGCGGAGGAGAAGCGGGGGAGGAAGGCAGCAAGGGAGCCGAAGAAGAGGGGGAGGGCGGCGGCGAAGGGGGTTAGTCCAGACAAGGTTGATGCGGTCGTCGCGGCGCCGGGACGGGGGAGGAAGGTGTCGAATGCGCCGGAGGGGCCACTGCAGCCACTGGATCCGCAGATGCAGCGGCCGGGGAACCAGGGTGGAGGGCATTTGTGGCCAGGGACGGTGACGGATGTGGATGGGCTCGGGCGGCTGATGGTGCCGGTGCATGGCGGCATGCCTGGGAATGCGCAGGTGGAGATGAGTCCGCTCGCGCGCCAGATGAATATGCAGCAGCAGGCCGCGTCGACCATGTCTGGACAGCAGCCGCTGTTGCAGGCGCACCTCGGTCCTAACACCGCGGCGCCTTCGGGAATAGCCACCTCCCCGAACGTCCTCCCGGCTCAACTCTCCCATTCCCCGCGTACAGGTCAGCCACCCCCTCCCGGCTCCCGAGTTCAACCCCCCGGCACCGCACCCCCGCGCACCCAAGCACGCACCGGTCCCTCTTCCTATTGGTCCGTCCCCGAGCAGCAGGAATTCAAGCGTCTCCTCCGCCACTACGGCACGGACTTCACCTCCATCGCGCAATCCATGAACCACTCCAAGTCCGCCGTCATGGTCAAGAACCACTACGGCAAGCTCGTCGAGGCCGGCAGTGATCTCGACCTCGTCGAGCAGGTCCGCCGCGTCGACGACCGGAAGAAGCTCGGCGACATGCCCGGCCCCGCGCCGCCCAGTCAATACGTCCCGCCGCCGCCCAAGCCAGGGCCAGCACCTGGCGCGAAGTCAGGGCCGGCGGGAAGGAGAAGAGCGGCGACCGTGACCGCGCCGAATATGCCACCTGCGGGAGCGTTGGGGTTGCCCGGGACGCAGGCGCCGCCGGCGGAGAACGTGGTTGTGCAGCGGACGCTGGCGCCGAATCTGGAGGTGGTCGACGTGGAGAAGGCGCCGTCGCACGCGCACATGCACGGGCATCCACATGCGCACCCGGGCGTGATGCATTCGCGGGCGGGGTCGGGTGGGGTTCCACTTGGGCGCACGGCATCACCTGGATCGGTTCATGCTGCGCAGCCCTCAAGGCCGTCGTCGAGGGATTATCACCGGCCAAGACATTTGCAGGGGCCGCCGTTGGGGTACTTTCCCGCGCCGGCGGCGCTAAGTGAGCGGAGGGAGGAGTATCCGCCGAGGCAGGATATGTATGCGGGGGATCGGAAGCCGGTGGATCATATTGTGGATGAGCGACCGTCGCAGCGGCAGCAGCCGATGCAGATGCAGCCGGTGGGCATGCCGTCCGCGCCGCAACATCCGTCAAGTCTTCGCAATATTGTCGACGATCGCGCCGCGGTGCCGCCACCGCCTTCCCAAGTCCATGCGCCGGCGCCGCAGCCACCGAAGCCCTCGGCGCCGAAAGAGCCGGTGCGGAAGCTGAACCTGATGGATATCATGAACGCCGATACGGACGACGTGCCCCCGAGGAAGAAGGAGGAGCCCCCGAAAGAGCTGCAGCGCACGACATCGCAGGGACACGGTCCGCCTTATGGGTCGCACGCGGGTCCGCTGACGCCGAATCCGGCACCGTCGATGCCGGCGCCGTCGGTCACGCAGCGGCAGGCGTCGGATTCGTCGATTTCTTCACGCGCGTACTCTCGCCCGTCATATCCCGATCCGCGAGGACAGCCGCCGTACGAAAGAGATTCCGGGCGTGAGTTGACCTCGACGATGCGCGATCCACTCGGCATGGCTCGTGAGCCGGTGCCTGCGCCTCGAGAGGCGATCGGGCCGCCACATCATCGTGACAGTTGGTCTGGACGACAGTACTCGCAGACACCAACAGGGGCGCACCATGGGCCTGGATCGCAACCGCAGACGCCGACAGCAATGCAGCAGCCGCATCCGCCTCAGGGACAACCGCATCCGACTCAAACTGCTTCGGCGGGCCAGCCATATAGCAGCCATCGGGCAATGGCATTTGGGCAGCTGAACACGCCGCGACATAATCCTAGCCCGCCTCCGAATGCGATGTACAGCGCGCACTCCCGCAGTGGAAGCGCCATTGGCATTGCTCATCCACATCATGGAACTCACTCGGCAGGACATACGCCAACACAATCGATCCATACCCCAACACCGCAGGGTCCGATTCCTCCTGGCCGTAACTATACGCCCCCGGTTCCGGGACACAATTATACGCCTCCGGCGCAGCCACTGCATTACACCCCGCCGACTGGCGCGGCGCGAAACCTCCCGCCAAATCCGAATCCCTACGCCACGTTAGCGCCACCGACGAGCCAATCCGCACCCCCTCCGTCTGCGCCACTACCCAGTGGCACGCCGAGCGAGCGAGTGCAATATGCCGTCGAGCGAGTGCCAAGCTATGGGTACGATCCGCAATCCCGGACATACGAGACCTCGTCGCGCGGCTACGAGCAACCAAGCCGACCATACGACCACGCCTACGAAGGCCCATCATCTCGACCCCAGCCCACCTCCACCCGTCCCTACGAATCTCAACACCCGCGCCAATACGACCCCCGCCCCCCCGCCCCCTTCGATCCCCAACTCTCTCGACCTACCGACCCACCCCGCCGCGCAACCAGCCCACACCACCCACCCCGCTACGACACACAACCCCCTCCCCACGCCTACCCCTACGACGACCCCCGCCAACCCCTCACCATCCAACAGCAGCGCGAGCGCGAAGCCCTCGCCTCCTACCAACGCGACGTCGACTCCGACCGCGACCGCGAGTTCCATGCGCGCCCGCCATACCCCGCCGCCACCACGCGGTCCAACACGCCCGGCATCTCGAGCGAGATCAAGCGCATTTCACTGACGCGGGAGGAGGACGTGGTGATGGGTGAGCGGGCGAGGGAGAGGGAGGGACGGGGGTTTGGGTATGTGCAGGGCGGGCAGATGGGGCGGGAGGGGTGGGAGAGGAGGGAGAGGGAGAGGGTGGAGGAGAGGGGGAGGAGGTTGGGGAGTGGGAGTGTGGAGGAGGCGGAGAGGCGGATGAGAGAGCGGTATGGGGGACGGTGAGGATTGGATTTGAGAGTCGTGAGGCATGAGGCATGAGGCGATGAGGGAAGATTGTATATTATGTTTCTGTTTCCGGTTTAATGGATGTATGAGAAGACAGCACAGGTGCAGGTAGCATCCAGCATACCTAACGACGGACTCAAATGAGCAGATACGGCTGCTAGGAGAGCGATAAGCATGTATGTATGATAGACTTTCACGACACATTGCGTGAATGATGGCAATGAAAACTATTCGACTTCAAAATATCTTAATTATCTATTCTTTCACATGATTCATTGTCTTGGCCCCCTCGGAGACCTTGGCGTGGTGCGGTTCTAAAAGACGGAAGAAGAGGGAAGAGGGATGGAGAAAGTCGTAGTCGAGATGACACGCATCGTGCGGTGGATAAAGCGTCTTCCCATCGTTTTTCACAACTGCCGCCCTGGCAGCTTTCAGAGTATCGATGGTGGACGATATGGATTCTAAACGTATCTTTTTTCTGGCCGTCGAACAAGATTTCCTCTTCCGAATCAGGGCCCCTTTGAGCTGTTCGCGTGCTCGTTGGCCATGAGTTGGGGGGGTATCTTCACATCTCGGAACATCGTCAAGGGAAAGGTCCTCGAGAAGAACATTGTCAAGAACGTGGCCGAGGATGTTGTCGGGGACATCATCGGGAACATCGTCGTTGAGATATCGGCGAGGACGTTGTCGAGAAGAACGACGTCGTTGAGAACAATGCGGCAGCCGGAGGACCAACCTCTAAGTCACCAATGCGAAACTGAACTTATAGCCTTGACAGGTATCTGAATACCCCGGTGCGAATCGTCGTCAAGCAATCGTCTCACTCCTCCCTGGTATTCGATCCTTGGCCAGACGCAGTCTCTCTAGTTACTAGTACCGCTATTAGCGGAGCATCTTCATTCATCGCCGACCAACCCGCCGACCAGATCCTCGCCAGTGGGTATGGAAAAGCAACCTCAAAATCCTTTCTCTTTTCAAAGACACGCAGAAGACATAAAACAATTTCAGGAAGGCAACTGCTGCCCATGGAGTCAGAAATTTCATCGTGGGCTTTTCTCTTGTATATTATTCGAACTTGAACCCGAGCCAAAAAGACATCGGGGGGCTTTTCAAAGACATGTGTATGACACATAACAAACTGAAAAACGTATCAACTGCATATAGAGGAAATATATATTGAGGCGGGAATGATGCGGGCAGGTCTGAGGACTCTGAAACGCCGTCTAGGAGGCGGGAAGACTAGGCTCAATAGCCCCCTCTCGATGCCATAAAACCATATCAAAATTGCGACAAGGAGTTCAGCTGGACATGCTGTATGCCGAATCAGATTCCTTGTCGCTGTTGTGGGCCAGCTCCACCCCCTGAGCACAAAGCTATAGTCTTCGAGAAACCAGAATTTCAGGAATTCCGAAAAAGGAAAAGGAAAAGTATATATCGCTCAATAGCTGTTAGGAAGAAGAACGAGCCGCACCACCCTCCATAATCGTGGCCAACTGGGACAAGGAGTTCGAGTTGCCGGGCGCTTCGACTAGGCAAATCCCCATCGCTGCCAAAAGTCAACTGCACCACGTCCAAGCGAAACCAAGCCCCGTGAGGCGGCCGGTTACGGACTCGGACGACGAAGGTGCACACTTCTTGCCAGCGCGGGAAGAAGACATGGAACGAGCCACCGTCGGACGTCATCCACCACTGCCCAAAGTGGGAGGACTTAGCAAACCCTCATCGCTGCAGAAAGTCAGCTCCACCACGTCGAAGCCAAACAAATCTTGGCCAAGAGTCCAGGTAGGGACTTGGACGACGAGAGTGTGCACTTCTGCCGTCGGGGAAAGACGACGAACTATGAGCCACCGTCAGATGTCATCCACAACTGTCCCAAGTGCAGTGATCAATCAGACGTTCCATAGATCCCTCGAAAACATCAGACGCAAGCCCCCTCCCTCCTCCCTCAACAAGAGCGCGGCTACGCGCGGCCTTGCGGACCATGACCATGGTAGCTGCGACGACCATTTCACCCTGAACACAGTACGGGGAGCCACGACCAGAAGCGTGGCTACACACTGCGGCACAGCGGTACGCGATGACGGGCGTTGGCATGCCGGAGGAGCTCGCAGAGAATTTCCATTGGGGACTGTCCCAATCTCTCGGCGGGCTACCTTGTCTGCTTAATGTACCCAATCATCTAAATCTGGTTGATGAAGTCGCGATACTCAGATGGTGAGTGGACCAGCGCCATGGTATCTCCGGAAAGTCTTGAGCTAGTCACCGTATGGGCTACCCAAACCTCAATAATCCAGCGTTGTATCCGATGCCCTCAAATGGGTCGGCCGGAAAGCCGGTCAACGGCAATGGTGCGACAAAACCAGCAGCAGCAGCTGGCTGGGGCTCGAGCATCTTCCTGAACTTCGATTATATAGCATCGAACGAGGATTCCATCATCGCCTCGACTCCTGGCGCCTCCCTTCATTCCGTATAGTTCAGCCAAAAGCAAACATTCAAGCGTCCCGCTTCAGGGAGTCGGATGACGACAGCGTCCACCGCTCGATGGCTCGCCGGGGGAAGCTCTCTCAGTCCTCTGCACGATGTCGCTTGTCTCTGTCCGAGTTGGGACAAGGAGTTCAATCGTCCTTGTGACTTGACTAAGCACGAGGAGAGTCGGCGTCGCTTTATCGGGGAGCTGCCCGCAGGGAGAAGCTCTCTCGGTCTTCGGCACCCTGTCGCATGTCTCTATCCGAGTTGCGAAAAAGAGTTCAATCGACCTTGTGACCTGACGAAGCACGAGAGTCGGCGTCGTTTTGTTGGGGAACTTCTCGCGGTTGATGGGTAGATTTTGCTCGATCAAGTCCGCATCCAACCATATAACCTGTTGTGAGGCAACAAGAATATAGCCGTGTATATGGTGCTCTTCTCCTTATTCTCTCAACATATAATCGCATTTCTCCCATGTATGGTCAGCAACAGCGTTGCTGAACGAGTGTTCCTCGACATCACCAACTACTCTCCATGGGGACACCAACTCCCCTGACCATATGATGGACGAGGGTCTCGGTGACGAATTCGACCCCAATGGTGGACAAGTCTTCCAGCTGTTCGACGAATCCGCTCTGGGCACTTTCCCAAATATTACCAGCTCTCCCCGAAACTCCACCGGACTTGGGTTTTTGTTTAGATAGGGAACAACCCACCAGGGTTATCGAGATCTACGGCCGGAACATTGGACAGCTACATCCTTCGGCACCATCTTTCGCCCCAACGACGCAAGAGAATGGCTTTCGAGTCCCGCCGTCCCCTCGGGTCCGCGGCAACGGCACCAACATCTAGATTCGGCGAATCGGGTCGTTATTCAGACTCGTCTTCGGGGATCGGGAAATTCAGGTGCTTCCAGTCTTCGATCTAGCTCGAAGAAGCAATTAGTACATATTCAAGCCTCACAGCAACGGCCCCAAATAACGCTGAACAGAGCTTGGGGGGTGGAGCACAGGAATTTCAAAAGGAAACATACCTCCTCGGTGACACAGCGCAGTCGGTCCCGGACACTCTCGACGGCGAAACCGCCCAGCAACAGCCGCAAGGGAGGATAACTGCAATGGCCCAGCTGCCAGACGAGTTCCGCACTCTTGACTGCCGAGGTAGGTTGCCGATCGTTGAGCCACTGGACCACTCGCTTGGCATGCGCTGACGGTGCAGTAGGACTATCGTACGGCGCCGACGGCGGCTTGACCAGGAACGCTTGCCATCGCCGCGGTTTTCCTGGTGACAGACCTTTTGAATTCTTCAATCCGGTGTCGGTTTCCGGAGGAACGACGGAGCTAGCCACAGGGCTGTTAAACAGCGGTTGCGTTTCCGGTCCGTCAGCGAGGTGGTCGTCCAGACGGACGTGCCCTGGTTCGATCAAGCTTGCCTTGATGCCGAAAGAGTCGATTTCATATAGCATGCTCTCAATCAGTCCTTCCACTGCATATTTCGTCGCGCAGTAGGGGCCTAGTCCCGGGACGCCGAGTGCGCCGGAAGTGCTACTGAAAATGATGTACCGGCAGGGGAAAGGGGCGACTTGTGCGCTTCCACTCTTTGATTTTTCCGGTACGGCGGCCAACAGAGATTCGGCGCGCTCACGGAAGTAGGGGAGGGAGAGCTGGATGATGTTCAAGGTGCCGAGGAAGTTCGTTTCAAATTGATTTCGTAAGTCGTGTGTATCTTGATCTTCGCAAGCCCCGATAACTCCTACATGGAAAGTTCTAGTCAGTTGTCACCGTGTAGGAGTCATTGTTAAACTCACCGTAGCCTGTACAACTATCAGAAGCGCATGCACGGTCAGCATAATGTCCATCAAAGACAGCGGTCAAGTAGCACCAAATATAACTGGGTTAATACCATCGAGGAGTACTTACTTCACAACGATGTCAAATGCCTTCCAGTGCTTGATAGCCGCCTGAACTGCTGCATCCACCGTCTCTCGAACCCGCACATCACACAGCAGGCCATGATAGTTCCGCTCGCCGGGCTTCGCGTTCTGCATCTGCTGGAGCGTGTGCTCCTTCGTCCAGCCCACCGCAGATACCCTATCACCGTGAGACAGACAGCACCTGACGAGGGACCGTCCCATGTGCCCTGTTGCCCCAAAGATGAGCCATGTCTTCTGCTTTGGCGGATTCGAGTCGCTGGGGGGTTCGGTAGTGGGAGGAAGGCGGAGGGTCACGGCGGACGGGGGGCTGGTACGGGGTCTCGGGGAGTCCTGAGAGCCCCCGCAGTGGTGTTCAGCCATTTTCTGCGGTAGTGATGCTTCAGGGCAATGTCGTCCTTGCTTCAGGTAGGAACATCTTCAAGGGAGGTACGTTTTACGTGTGGTATGCCACTGGGGGATTAGACCGGGAGAGGGAGGGCGTTCAGATTAGCAATGCTCGGGAAGCGGGAGCTAAAACCGTGGAACCAATCCTAGTCAATAGCTCATAGCAAATAAAAACCCCGTTCGGACGTCAATATCACTTGCATCTACCATGTCACATCCGCAATCGTTCACGAGCATTCTTGGAATATATGAGTTACCGATCCCATTTTTTATTGACTCCAGAGGGGGTACTGCAGCGGTTGAGTCTTCCCCCGGGGCTGCCAGTTGATGGTGACTTCCCATCCTTTCCCACCCAGATTCATACTATCGGCCCCGTCAACGACGACAAGCAATGGCCTCGGGTACATGCCAGTAGCTATCTGTAAGGGATAGCCCATAATAAGGATTGGAAGCACTATCAACCATGCCAGAGTCCTCCAGCTTCGTTCCAACCTTCACCCAGGGTTTCATCCTGGGACAGCTCACCTTAGCCGTGATTATCTTCGCGTTCATCAAATTCTTCATCTTTGGAGAACCATCCACATCCGACAGCTTGCGACCATCCCATCGACCATATTCCTCCTCACATTCGCGGACATATTCTCGATCTGCCTCTGGAGGGGCGAACAATACATTGCGACACCGGCCGTCCACCACCTTTTCAACCCTACCCCCCAGCACCCCATTAATCCTCTCCAAAACGTATTACAATACGGCCTCTCACCCCCCAGAATCGCTAGACTGGTTCAACGTCCTCGTTGCGCAGACGCTCGCACAGCTCCGTGCGGATGCCCTTCATGAAGGCGCTATTGTTCGCAGTTTGGAGTCCGTGCTAAATGGACCATTGAAACCCAGCTGGGTCGGCGATATGCGGATCACCGAAATCGCCCTGGGCGAGGAATTCCCCATCTTCAGCAACTGTCGAGTGATTCCGGTGGAGGAGGGCGAGAATGGCCATGTCGGAATGGGGGTTAGCGCCGGCGAGGGGGCCAGATTGCAGGCGCAGATGGACGTGGACTTGGGCGATGTGATCACGCTTGGAGTAGAGACGACCGTGAGGTTGAACTATCCAAAGCCCCTGATTGCAGTCCTTCCAGTGGCGCTGGCCGTATCTGTAGTGAGATTCAGCGGGACGGTATGTGCAGACCAAAACGCCACCCCCTTTCAGGGCTTACACTAACCATGGTTGCTAGCTCTCTTTATCACTTGTCTCCATTCCATCAGGAGCCGAAGAGGGTAATTCGACTCTATCCAGCCCTACTCCCACTCATAGGATGCCGACCTCGCCGTCTCCTCAGCCCTCGTCACCAACGCGGAACTCTACCGCGTTGACGTTCACCTTCCATCCCAACTACACCCTTGCTCTTCGGACGTCTTCACTAGTTGGCTCTCGCGCTCGATTGACGAACCTGCCAAAGCTGGCAGAGCTTATCGAGGCCCAGGTGCGGCGATGGTTCGAAGACCGCGTCGTCAGCCCACGGTTCCAACAGGTCGCGCTCCCGAGTCTCTGGCCCCGGATGCGCAATGCTAGGGGCGGCGAGCCTGACGACAGCGATGACAGACAGTCGACAGCTCCCGAGGAGACGGCTCGCGAAAGCCGAAGCGACAGCAAGATGCGTGGCCGAGATCGAAGCAGAGGTCACAGGAGACCCTCAACCGCCCAAGGCGAGAACCACGCTGCCCCTGACCACGACCATCTAAGGACAAGCAGTTCCGCCCGGGACCCCAATGCCGACGACATCGAGCACCGCGCGCCCGACGAGGGTCTCCGTCTCCGCGACTCGGAGGCTCGAAGCCGTGACGCTGACGAGGGTTTGCGGTTCCGAAGTGCGGGTTCTCGCAGCCGCGAATCGGAGATGCGGGCCACCACGGATGGATTTAAAATCCCGGGTAGCATGCCGGGAGGACTTGTTGGATGAGCGGGTAGCTCGTCAGCATGGATGGACTTGCGGACGATCGACTCTAGGAAAATGACGATCCATATCGGACTGGTGGCGCTTCGATGGCTACGGACCGCAATGCATGCGACCACCGATAGATTTAAAATCCCGGGAAGTATTCCGAGAGAACTTGTCGGATGGGCTCGTGGCTCGTCGGCATGGGATAGACTTGCGGACTGATCGACTCCACGAAAACGACGGCCCATCCCGGACTAGGAGACCTTTCGATGGCCACGAACAACAATCCGTCAAGATCTTGACTTATATATATGCAATCCAGGCCTTTAGACCTACCCATCCGGACTGCTGCTGCCTCGCAAGATTCAAATGCTTCGAGGGAGTAGAAGGGATATGTTGCGGCATCTGCGTTGAAGAAGTTGATGGTCCTGAAGTGTACCCCGAAGGCATCAAAACTCTTAGAGGATTACCGTCGTACATCTCCCTTGATCAAGAAAGTCGGCAATTACATGGACAATCTCTACGGGGACTGGAGGAGGACATCCAAGGCGAATGAGCATCCATTGCTTCCACCCCGAAGCGGTTTAGAATCGAAAGGGGCGGAGACGGATTCACATTTCACGAGCACTGTCGCATGGCCGGACACAACTCTCTGTTGCCCCTGAGACTCCAATGTTCACTGGAGTCTTGATTTTTTCCTATTTTCCCTTCAGTCGACAATCGCCGTCAACTCTCACCTTCTCGGCAACCCCGCCGGACAACTCATCATTTCCCTACTTTCCACACACTTTCGCATCTTCAACATCTATCCCCACCATCTATCCCCACCATCTATCTTCACACCACCACCCCCCTCATCCACCATCCCTAGCAATGGCCGCTCCCGGAGGCAGAGATCCTGCACAGCAAGGGGAACCACCTCTCAGCCCCCCTTCGCTGAAGCGACTAGCACCAGCTCCCCTCACCCCACGCGGATCTCCGGCGGTGGCGGCGGCCAATCCACCCGCCAATGCTGCCAGACGTTTCCGGCCGTACCGCATGCCTCCATCTGAATCCCTCGGATCCCCTGCCCCGTACAACCGCCGTTCCTCCCGGACCCATACGCGCCGATGCCTCCGAACCTGTATGCCGCAGGTCCGAGTGGCCAATACGATCGGCTACTCCCTCCAAACCCCACTTGCAGGCCGTCGACACAGGACGCTCTAGCACTCGCCTAGCCGCAGATTGCCACTAACGCCGGTCCCTCCATGGCGAACCTCCCAGCACTAGCCGGACCGCAAGCTCCTCCACCTGATCATCGTATCGCCCCCGTGACGACTTCCTATCGTCGTGGCCGCGAGTTGCCATTGATTGAGAAGCCGGGGGCAGTCCATCGCCTTGGAGTTTGCCTGGATCGAGAGAGTACGACGGAGGGATTGTTCAACGGCAAGGGACCCCAACACTCATGTCAAGTAGCGCGATGCTCTTCGACACTCATATATGGGCGGGTTGGACGGAGGGACGGATAACTTTCACGGGCAAGCAAACGAGCTGAATCCATCATGTACAAGTAGCTGCACCAAAATATACCCCCATCTCATGCCCATCGCCGTCTCATTAAAATTCAAATGTTCCTCATAACTAGTTAACATGCATGAAGCCTAACCCATGAATCAACCTCGACCAGCAATGCGCCCATCCATCCATTCATCCATCTCTGTCTCTGATCTCATCACGGAAAAGATGGAGGAGACAAAGCCGAATGACACCGCACCACAACGACGGAGCCGTCCAGTCGAATGCTGTATTACGCTTCGTACGATGAAGAAAGCACCCCTCCTGCATCCACGTCCATTCGTCGTCATTACGAAACTTGATATTATTCAACACGAAGAGCCTCCGCTTGGTAGATCTACTCCAGCGCAGAAACTGCATTTTGCGGATGACATTAAACTATGCTAGGCGGCGGTGAAACATGTAGTCCATGTACCTAGTGTATTGCATCGTAAAAAAAACCCCCGTGTCCTTCATTCGCCTTTTCACTCCCAGTATTCGCGATCCACCAGTCGCCGGTCGCCATCCTACCGATACGCCATCCCCAGTGAGTAGTGCCACAGGTCTAATAACGCCGAAAGCACGAACCAACCTTCACGCACCTCCTCCATCCATCCATCCCACATCGCAAACAACCCCGACGAGCGAGAACCGTCAAGTTTTATCTTGGTCCGCGGGTCGAGCTACCCCTTCCCAGACGCAAGCGGCGTGCCGACGCTGGAGACGGGTGCGGTGGTGCCGTCGGGGAGGTCGGTGTCCGGCTCGTCGATGTCACCCCAGTCGAATTCGGGGTGTTTGGCGGCCTCGTCTTTGAGGTGCTTGATGCAGGTTTCCTAATCGACAAAAATCAGATTTCCGTTGCGAAATACGTGGAATGAGTAGGGGGGACGGAGGATCAACATACCTCAATCAAGTTCGCATCCTGATACAACAAGCTCCCATCCTCGTTATACGTCCGACAATTCCCGCACAGCGTCCCGATATCCTGCCGGAACTCCCGCAGACTCTGATACTCGCGGCGGTTGATCCGCTTCTGCACCATCTTCATACAGATCGGCCGGGCGATAATCCGGTAGTAGTCAGGGTATAGCGACTTGTCGGGCAGGTCGATAAACGGGTCGATGATCCCGCGGTCCGGCACCTCGGGGTCGTCCGACTGCTCCTCCAGCCCGTCGAGCACCTTGAACACCGCGTTCACGATGTCCTGCAGAGCCTCCCGCTGCGGTTTGGACAGCGTTTCCGCCGGCTTCGCCTGCCGTCCGCGCTTCTTCGGCGGCTGCGGCACGTCGCCGTCGAGGGACGCGTCGTCGACTTTGCGCTTCTCAGACTTGGGTTTGCGGCCGCGCTTCTTGGGGAGGACAGGTTCCTCGGAGCTCTCGCGAGAGGGGGCGGGTGAGTCGGTGCCGAGCTGGGAGCCTTGGCCGCGTTTTTCCTTGTTGGAGACGCGCTTGGCGATGCGGGCTTCCTTACGGGCGACGGCGGCCTCGATGGTGTCTTCGTCGTCGTCGACGGCTTCGAGCCACTGCTCCTCGGTGAGGCCGTCGTCATACTTGACGCGGGTGCGCTCACGGGCGCCGCGGCCAGTGATCTCCTCGACTTCCTCTTGAATGGGGACGTCTTCGTTGAGGTAGATCTCCGGGAGCTCGTTTTCGCCGAGGAGGCGGGGGAGTTTCTTGTCGGGGCCGTATATGCCAGACTTGTTGCGCTCGGCGTCGATCTGCTGGAAGATGGGGAGCTCGTCGTCCGAGCGCATCATGAGAAGGTTGAGATCGTCGTCGTCCATCTCTTCTTGCTCGAGGCTCTCGGCGGCTTCAGCGGACTCCAACATGATGCGGAGCATGGCGTCTCGCTCTTCGTTGGTGGACTTGTTGTCGAAGCGACCGGCTTGGATGATTTTCCCGTCCATATCCAACTTGAAATTGGCGCGCTCCAAAATCTTCTCTTCGACGGAGTTGGAAGTGATGAGACGCAGGATGCGCACCTCGTTCTTCTGCCCGATCCGATGCGCACGATCCTGTGCCTGTAAATCCTGGTGCGGATTCCAATCCGAGTCGTAGATGATGACGGTGTCGGCTGTCTGCAGATTCAAACCGAGGCCACCGGCGCGGGTCGAGAGAAGGAAGCAGAAGTAGGGGGAATCGGGTGCATTGAATTGATGCAGGAGCTCGGATCGGTCCTCGGACTTGGTGGATCCGTCCAGGCGGAGATACTGGTATCCGCGAAGCCGCATGAAGTCCTCCATGATGTTCATGATCTGCGTCATCTGGAAGAACATGAGGACGCGATGCCCGGTTTTTTGGAACTTGGGCAGGATCCGATCCAGCAATTCGAACTTTCCGGCGGTGCGCCATAGCAGGTCATTTGACTGACGCGTCGGGTTGACTTGATCCTCGACCTCCTCGAAGACGAAGGGGTGATTGCACAGTTTTCGCAGCTGCATCAGCATGTTGCTCAAGCCACGCACCCCGGTTTTCCCGCCCTTCCCATCGCTGACCATGAGCCGGTTGTGGGTGACCAGTTGCTTGTACAGCTTCGCCTGCAGCGCCGAGAAGTTGCACTTGATGACGCGCTCCTGTTTGTTCGGCAGGTCCTTCTCGACGTCTTTCTTCAGACGACGCAGCAGGAAGGGACGCAGCACCTTGTGCAGACGACGGATGACGAGCAGCTGCTCTTCCTCGGTCAGCTCGATGCGATCCTGACCGCCCGTGTTGGCGAACGGGGTGTTGAACCAGTCATCGAAGGATTTAGCGGATTTGAAGATGTTCGGGAGGACGAAGTTGAGCATGGCCCACAGTTCGGTGAGGTTGTTCTGCAACGGCGTCCCGGTCAGGATAATGCGGTATTTGGTGCTGTAGTAATTCGTGATGGTGGAGCTGAGTTTGGAATTGGCGTTCTTCATGCGATGACCCTCGTCGACGATCATATGCATCCACTTGATTTTGGCCAGGATGGGACGATCCTTGATGATGAACTCGTAGGTGGTGAGGAGGACTTGGAACTGCCCGTAGCGGATTTGCTGTTGCTGTTGTTTTCGAGCGAGAGGGGGGCCCTTGTAGACGATGCGCTGCACGCTTGGTGCCCATTTCTCGAACTCATTATTCCAATTCGTAAGGGTACTAAATCGGTTAGCTTGCGTCAAGGTTAGGCAGAGGGGACTCACCTTAGCGGCACGATCACAAGGAAAGGCCCGGGTTGATTCTTCTTCTCGATGAGGTACGTGATGAGACTGATGGTTTGAATGGTCTTCCCCAGACCCATCTCGTCGGCCAAAATCCCGTTCAGGTTGTTGTTGTACAGGGAAATCATCCACTGCAGACCCTTAAGTTGATAGTCCTTGAGCGTACCACCGACGAGGTTCCCCGACTGTTGCTTGACATCCTCCTTGACACGATGAGCCACCTCGTAGTAGTCGATCTGCCGGCCACGAGCTTCGTGATCTTCCGTTTCGGAGAGCTCGCTCTCCTCTTCCTCGTCTTCGGACACCACGTAGTCCTCCTTGGCACCGCGCTGCTGTCGCTTGACCGACGCCGCCAGCTGTTTGAGGAAACTGTCGGTCTGTCGGAGCAAATGCGAGATACGGCTGTCCTTGGCTTGACCCAGCAACTTGAGGTACGTCTCCTCGTCGTTGGCCCGGAGCGCCTGCAGACGTTGCTTGGCCGTTCGCTCAATGCGCTTCTCCTCTTCCTTCTTGATGTTTTGGTGCGTCGCCAGCATGAGCTGACCAAGCTTCACGGTCCGGGCGCGATGTCGGGCGGCATTCTCTCGGACCTCCTCAGCGTGCGCGACGATAGCGCGCAGGAAGTCGTTGTGCTTCTTCTTCTCCTTGGTCTCCCGGGCATCGCGTTGCTGCTTCTCGAGCTTCTCGGTGATGCGCGCTTCGCGCGACGACTGTTTCTTGATTCGTCGACACATGCCACGGTTGGCCGTCATCGCAAGGTTGTGGGCATGCAGCATCTCCGCGCTGATTTGCTGTCGAAGCCTGCGTTGCAGAGGCAGGAGATTGAGCTTCTTGAATTCGATGAGAGCCTTCAGCTTTGACTTCCCATCGTCTTTCGGCGTGGCGGATCGGTGTGAATCCCAGGATCCAATATTCGCACCCAGCTTCTCCAACTCCGATTTCCGCGCCTGGATCCGGTTGTAGACAATATTCTCGCGCTCTTCGACCAGGCGGTCCACGTCCACGCCCGGGCCCATGATGCTTGGGACGAGAGGTCGTTTGTCCCGGTATTGGTGATCCCAATAGCTGATCGGGTCGCTTCCGGAAAGTTTATAGGGCGACTCGAAGTCCAGGTATCGTGCGCCGTTGGTCGATTCCACATCCTTGGATACCGACCCGGTGGTCGATTCCGCACCCTTGATTACCGACCCGGACGATGCACTCAGCACCTTCTTCGCAGCTGACACGCTCTCCGCCGGACTTTGCGGCTTCTTGGCTTGCTGGGATGGAAACAGCGTCTGCTGTAGTTGTGCGGGCACCGGAAGGTTTTTACTCAGCAGGCGGAAGGCGGCCACTTGCGACCGCAGGGTCGATAGCGACTTGGGCGTGAACACCTGCGTATAGGCATTGGGCACAGGATGCTTGTCATCGCCGCCTTGGAAAAGGGAACCCTGCGTGGCGCTCTGAGGAGTAACGGGTGTTTTCGACGCGCCGGATGCGTCGTTCGTGGTGGAAGCGGTCGAGGTGGCAACAGGCGCGACTCCGTTGCTGGTACCGTTCGTGAGCGATCCATTCTGCTGTTGGGACTGCGCCTGTTGCTGCTGCTGCTGCTGATGCGCCATGCCCATGCGCTTCTTCTGCGCCGCGGCCTGTCGCTGGATGTTTTGGACCATGTTGCGCGTCTTGATGAAATCGGGGTCCGTCTCCGCGACGCCGGAGCTCTTCATCTGTTGGTATTTCTGCCCTCGTTAGCAAGCTTCGTCGCGCGTTGATGGGGGATCATACAAGGAACAGCTCCTGGATTTTCTCCTTGGTGTTGGGCCCAGGTCCATGAGACGCGGCCGGAAATCCCGGCGCGGGTTGAACTGACGCCATGATGGTCGTTCAGGCCCAGTGCGGTGAATGCCCCAAGCACGTGGTCCCCGTTATCGACTCCACAACCGTATGCGGAGGACGGGTGAGAATGCGCAAGAGCGGTCGCAGTGGCAAATGGGTCGCGAGGTCTTGGCGCGGTGAGGGAGAGTGAATTCCAGCAGCTCAGAATGACATACTCCGCAATAGGGAATGATCGGGGGAGAGAGCGGAGATGGAATGCGGCGTTGGGGTGGTACTGCGTGCAAGTTGGGGGAAAGTCGCGATGGTCGAAGCGGGAACGAGGGTGGGAGGGAAATTGGGGGGACGGGGCGATGGGCTCTAAGGAAAGGAATGGGGAGATCAACGCGTGAAAAAGGACGTGTATGGGGGTGAGGGAGGGAGAAACGGGGATGGAATTGATGGCTGCGGGCGTTGCACGATGGACAACAGACTGGAAGGATGGTTCAGATGTTGGTTGGTGGTGTCAGTCTCTCACAGTCCTCAGTCTCTCAGTCTCTCTAAGCAGCAACTCAAGTTGTTGCGTTCTCTGCTGCGCAGTCTGAACGCTACGGGACGGATAAATGTTTGTCCGTAACAGCACGTGACATATATTATCATTGACTCACGTGCTGTGGTCACGTGCATCTATCCTGCTTCACAGTTACCTCAGCAAGCTCAGGCTATTTCTCAGGGGAGTCTAACCTTTTTTGTAAAAGGTCACGTTACTTTAACTACTCCTCTGGTAAATAGCCTGAGGATTCTGTCAATGACGCGCACTGCTCTGCATAAATTTTGTATGTGGTTTGTATGTATCTCTGCGGATTTGACAAAATCACGATCCATTAATAACCACATCAAAACACGTCGTATGTACTCCAAAATCTGATCGATTGTGTATTAAAGTATGCTCTATCTCGTAATTGATTTTTTTTTACATGTCCATGCTTGTGTCGGGTGAAAAACGCTAATATGTGATGAACTAGACCACACCGAAATCACCATCCAGCCATCGTTCCGGAGCTTACGGTCGAATGAGCCTGGAAAACACCCATTGGATGTCATATAACGCCTTTCTCGGTCGGTATTCACACAAATATCTATTATTGAACACATTTTGTGTCCATATTTCCCATGCGAAGCAAGGCGAGCGTTCGAAAACGGCGACGAGAGACCATGGACATCGCCAGAGATCTCGTCCACGATGCCTATAGCACCACTAGTATGCTGGCTATACAGCGGTTAGTCGAAATTGCAAGAGACGCGCCCGAGGAAGTGCAGAAGGGCATCATCAGGGCAGGCCTGGACTGCCATCTCTACCCATTCGAGCCTCGTCAGAAGCAGGTAGATGCTATATGGCATTTAGTATTCAAGAAGGAGGACCTTATTCTTGCAGCCAAGACATCTTTTGGCAAAAGTGTCATATTCCAGGCAGCGCCGTTGTTTTGCCGCGATGGCATCGGCCTCATTATCATCCCTTTGGATCGAATTGGACAGGAGCAGTGTATCAAAATCCAAAGGCTTCCGGGCGCGAGATCCGTGTTTATCAATGGCAGGACGGACAAGACTCAAGAATTAGCCCAAGAGATTGAAATGGGAGTGTATACTCATCTTATCATGGGCCCAGAGATCGCCGCCGGTTGGTTTCGATCGATAGCAAGCAGCCCGACTTTTAAGAAGCGTGTCTGTATCGTGGCTATAGATGAGCTCCATTTAGTGGCCCTCTGGGGAAGTGGTATCCGTCCACAGTATGCACAACTCTCTCTTCTACGCCGAAGGCTAGGGGGAGGTGTCCCTTGGTTTGGCTGCTCTGCCACCCTGGACCGGACGACGTTAGACACTGCGACAAAAATGACAGGATTCCAGGCCAGCTGCGAGTTCTTCCGATCATCCGTCGATAGACCAGAGATTAAGTTAATCGTCGAGATGATCCAACCACGGACAACGAAGAGATTCATAAGCCTCTTCTTTGTTCTGCAGGACGCCATCACAAACGGCTCGCCAACGCCGGAGCGAATTCCGAAGACTGTAATCTTTATAGACTCCCGACGGGATATCCAAAAATGTGCGGAATGTCTGCGAGATTGGCTACAGAAACTGTTAGCTGGGTCCGTGGACGCCCACGACTGCAAGCAGATTATCCAGGTCTACCATTCACATACTACTCCGAACGACAAGAATGCTATATACGACCAGTTTTCTAAACCGGACTCTAAGATCCGAATCATGGTGGCCACAGAATCATTGGGAACGGGGGTAGATCTCTCGGATGTCATACGAGTTGTCCAGTATGGCTTCCCTCTAGAACGACTCTTATGCGTCCTTATCCAACGCTTTGGCCGTGCAGCTAGGATGACTGGCATTAAAGGAGAGGCTATATTCTTGGTAGAAAGTTGGGCGATAGGTGACAGGATCTCATCGACAAGACCGGCGCTGCAATCCAGAACTCAGATGCTGTCGTGTTTAAGGCAGCCTTCCGACACGAGCCAGTTAGCTCAGTCGTACTCCACCGATCCAGGGGTGGGCGGTGATATCCCAGATGATGAATCGGATGTTGCCGTAGACGCTATTAAGTATGATATACCAGGAGGGCAGCACCGACGCAAAACGGGGAGAGAACGCCGAACAGACCTATATAATGACTGTCCGGCGCTATTCAATCTTGTTAATCGATCCGCATGCCTACGCCGAATCCTAATGGATTGGCTACAAGAGAGTCTATCGGACCCTGCATCTAGGTTACCGGCTCCTCAACCGCACGAGTGCTGTAACGTCTGTAACCCTGATCTGACGCGGGCGGTGCCTTTCCCATGGGATACCACTGCTAGTCTTCGCAAGCCCCAGGCTGGAACGGCATCCCGCGCATTTTATGACCGCCTGACCCTCTGGGGAGACAACGTTGTTAATTCGGCACATCGGATGGTAAAGCCAGAGCTCTCAGTACGGTTACTCGCGCAGAAGGAAGAGTGGATATCAATATCCAGAGAGTATACGAACATCCGCTCGGCTGCTGAGTTGGAGAAGTTTATGAAATCGGCTTGGATGAAAGATCATTCCCATGAGCTGTTCGAAGAGTTTAATAAAATCAAGTCCTATGTCGTGAGGAACTGGCCCGGAGGCTGCACGCCAGGAACCACAGCTGCAGCTCAAGTTCTAATACGAAGAGCACCATTCGAAAGACAAGCTCATCCCACCGCCGAACGGCAAGTATCTCAACAACGAAGTCGGAAGAGAAGATTGTCTATCGAAGCAGAGACTCCGATAACTCCTGATCAGGAACGAAGAGTATTATTCGCGCATGAACGAGAAGAGTACGCTTCCTCGCTAGAGCGAATCATTGCCCAGGCAAGAGAGGTACCAGCTTCGAGTTCTTCTTATCTACCTACTCTATCAATGCCTATAGTATCAGTGAACTCGTCATTCACATCTATAGGTAGGTCGATGATATCTACAGACGTAGACTATTCTTCTACTATATCAGGTGTTCTCGAAGATGGTGAGAATGAGGTGCCAGGAATAATTAATAGTAATCAGGCCTCGAAACGTCCCGCATTGAGCCGAGGGAAGGGAGTAGCGACGAAACGGGTCGTACTCGGCGTTTTAGACTCGATTTAACGCAAGGCGAAGTCCTCGCAGTAAGAAAAGGAATAATAGCCGCTACGACTACAGCGAGTGGGTATTATAGATAGGTTAGTCTAACTCGACATCCGAAGGTAAACCCCATTCATGGGTTATATCTCTGTCTGCCAAGGGCTGGCGACGTCTGTTAGCACAAGACCAGAAACTATATGAGCATGCACATACCAATATCGCCATCGTGTCGCTATTGGGATCTAGATCAGCCGTAGCTCCTCTCCTCTCATAAGGTGGTACAACTATCCGATCTTTATCTCTTATAACTTTTGCATTGAACACTTCCAATTTTTGAGTTGCTACTCTTTCGAGCCCGACCGTATGTATGTCTGGCGCTTGATGTCTTGCCTTCCTGCCGCCGTCATAGAGCTTAATCGAGTCGTATGCTAGCTCAAAGGCCAATGTATGAATATCATCTTTCGGGGAGGGCACGGAATGTGTGGAGTTGTCCTTCCGGGCGAATGCATCCTCAACTGCCCTGCGTAGACAAACAGTATATTCTGCCGTCAATGAGGTAGTCTTGAACAGGGCATCTAATCCGAAAGTCGACGTTCGACGGGCCCAAAGCTCTCTTTTCAGCTCTAGGTTTAGATATTCAAGGCTACGATCGACTTCTTGCCAGGTGTCCCGACGGCCGTGCGGATTAACGAGGCTATTCGAGAGTATTGCGCGCCGAAGCTCCTTGTCACAAGCTTTGGTGCTAGTGAGCCGCTTTAGATAGAGCATTTCGAATGCGTAGTTTGATTGTCCAGTCCCCTCGAAGTAAAAGCAACAGACACCAATAACTCGATCAATGAGTCCTATATCTCCGTTTTTGATACCGTACTTCAAGGTCTTGTATACAACCATTTGTTGAAGATATCGAGCGTGACTGAGGAACTCCTCATCGACTGTGTCGTTGGTATACTGCTCCTTAGATGGTCGCCAGGCTTGCGGCTCAAATGCGGATCTGCGAATATCCTCCACTAGGTCCATAAAGCCTCTAGTATTCATGTTCCGAATTGCCTTGTCAACCTCATCTTGATCCGAGGTATCGATGCCGCACTGCTCGAGGCGAGTATAGAGTAGTCCAACAACCCGAGCGTCGAAACTGTGAAGTACCAGCTCTTCCAGAACCTGAAATGCTGCACGGTCTGCTGGAATATTCTTTCGTCCCCAGAAGTTGATGTTGTGATAGAGAGTTGAAGCGTCCTGTTGCTCCATGTTTCCGTAATGTGTCTTTTGCATAAGCCATAGAAAATTCATACGCAGGTGAAAGAGAGCAGCGACTCCTATCAGCCAGTCTTTTCTATCATACGCCATAGACGCGTCTACTTGCTCAGCCTGCATAGATCGGATAAGTGAAGAGGTTTTTTGATCGCCAAATGCCAAGAACAGACGGTTGTCGAATTCTTTATTATCTAGCCGGAATTGGTACTTGTAGATGCTCTCTATAACCTCGTAGGAACCATCTAGAGTACCTTCGTTAAAGAGAATCGGACCGAGCGTCTTGCTATCTGTCTTTCGAATCTCGAGTAACTCGACTGCTGGCATAGCGGGGTAAGGTGTGTCGGACGTAGAGAAGATAGATTCGACCGATATTGGATATGCTGATCGAATTGCCTCCGCTATAAAGTAGGTATCAATCTTTGCGGCAGTCTCGTCATATACTGCTGCACCAGGAGAATATAAAAGATCCTCTATTGTAAGTGGAACCTCGCGGTGTAGCATTGACTGCTTTAGACCACCAGAGGGGATATCAGAGCCTCTGAAAACCTTTCCCGTTGTCACAGAGCGCATTTCTGCGTGATTTGAAATAAGCTGGTGCTTAATACCTTCTCGATAGTCGAAATTGTCATATACAACACAGGCATCCAGTTGCTGACCATATCGACGAACCGTTCCCTAATTGCAATCAGTGGACGTCTATACTGAGAGGCGGTGAGGATGCCTTTGCTTGTTCTGCCACAGTTTCGAGATGCCTGTGGACTCCCTTGTAGCCTTCACAAACCCCAAATTGGTGAAGAAGATCGAGGATACGTCGTTTCACGCCATTTGAGTGCAGAAAGGCGCCAAATACGCGGGGAAACTTGTTACTCCCTTCCGATGCCCGAGAATAGCAGAGAATCGACGTGATTATCGCAATCCTGTGGTTGAACTTGACAGGATCCCGTGGCGGTCGATCTTTTCTCTCTGTCTTGGGCGCCATAAGGCCATTGAGCAATCCACATAGAAGAGGAGCACGAGTTTTAACTTGCTCGTACATCTGCCCAAACTGCATGTTGCCCAGTATGCGCTCGTAGTCCTCGACCTTCTGACCCTCTGACTGTTTCTCCCTCCCTACGCCGGCAGGTGAAGTCTTCTCTTGGACACGGTCGACTTGGTAGGCACTAAACATATCTCCGGCTTCTTCCAGTTCCTTCATTTCCTTCCTCAGGTCCTTTATAGTGACAATTCCTGCCGCACCAGACGCGGGATGTTCTCGCAGTGCATCTAAGACCTCTGCCTGACCGTAGACGGCCTCGGCGAGTCGTTTGGCACGCGTGGCAGGGCGCTCCCCATAACCATCAGACCCTTGAGTCGTCGCGTAGACATGGATAAATTCTCGTAGTGTAATGTTTTTTTTCCGCATGAATTGGCATATCTCGTTTACTCTCTGCGCCTTACTGCGTCTTTGAGAACCTCTTGCTTTCTGACGAGGTGCATTAGATGTGTTTGACGCAGCAATATGCTGAGAACTTGGAGCAGGTAGCAAAGTGGGCGAGTTCAACCGCGCGCTCTGACGATGCTGGTTTCGGGCCGACATGACCCAAAATTCAATCAATTATGGAGAAAAAGCAGGGGAATCGAATGGTTATATTTAATTGACGGAGCATAGTGTGGTTGTGGATGAAAATGGAGTTAAAGATGGTCTTCCATTTGGTATGAAAGCTCTCCGCACACACCCAAAACCCATTGACAGAATCCTCAGGCTATTTGTTCGAGGAGTGCATGTGACTTACCGATTAGGTATAGTCCCACTCCGGTGCCTTGGCACGACCACAAATAGCCTGAGCTTGCTGAGGTAACTTCACAGCCTCACACAATTCAGACGCCACAGTCCATTGTACTGCCGACTAGTGGCCTAGAGGCTAGAGCTGAGAGATCACTAGACACTAAGGATGGCAATACGAGGGACATGTAAGACGTGATAAGGTCATACTCAACTCAGATTCAAGCTCCTAGTCTGCCAGTTTCACTTTCCTCACAAACATCGACGTGTTCACAACGTTCCGATTCTCTATCCTGACTTCATTTGGCGGAACACGCTTTTGCATTGTCGACTAGACTGCACGAAACGGACCTACGGCCTCGCTGAACCCCTCCTCGTAAAAATAATAGTATACACGACCAGCGCTTTTTACCAACGACCATCTGCACCAAGGGAGGAGACTCCAGACTCAAAACTCTCCCGAATTATTAGACGGCCTTCTCCCAACACCACGCTCAACCCAACCTACCTATCTATTCCCCCATCACCCCAACCCCACAAACTTTTTCCCCGGCACCGGCGGCGGCGCCGCCTTCTTCACCCGACTCGGCGGCGGCGGGGGCGGCGCCTTCTTCACGAACCCGACGTCCACCTCGCTGGCCGTCGACGTCGTGCTCGCGTGCGTGTTCGTCGGCGAGTGGCTCTGATACGCGGCGTAGTCGTCGTTCGGGTCGTGGAAGATGTTGCCGCTGGCGGTCATCATGCGGGGCGCCGGGCGGAGGGCGCAGCGGAGGCCGGCCGGGTCGGTGGGGATGCGGGTG